TAGTACAAAGAAAATTAGGCATGATCGCTTAAGCGATGCGAGATATCACTTAAGCAAATCATGGCTTATGTATATAGGATCGCTTAACCGATATATAACATCGCTTAAGCGATCCTGTATTTGACAATGATTATTCTACAAAAGGAAATTCGCTTGATCGCTTAAGCGATTTAATGTCTCGCTTAACACTGAAAGATTTATTGTTATTCTATTATTTTTGTTAGTTCTTGGCAAGAAAGTAATATATAAAAAATATAATAATAATATAAAATTGAACTTTGTAACCATATGCTCTGCACTCTGTAGACCAAGAGAGTGCCAGAATTTTTCAGAAACTTTTTCACTATGAACAACGGCTCCTGTTATCACAATAAGGTTTTCAACACAACTGTTGTAACATTCTTAATCGACCAAGGCTAAATAAACGGGATCGCTTAAGTGATTAAGGGTAATTTACTTTAATATTTCTTTTCCAAATTTATGGACATATGTTTATTATAGACGTAAACATTCTACACCATATATGTTTGATATAGATGTACAAGAACTATATGTTTAATTAAAATATAATAACGGTCATGGTCAACTGAATGAATCGTACACCCTATATGTTAAGAGTTCGAGCAAGAAAATGGCTTCAGAGTTAAGATATGGATAAAGAAAAAGACGGTGAAATTTTTAGAGCATTGATAAATATTACACTCTTTTGAGATTCTTCTTGGTCTGATTTTAAAAGAGTTGTTATTTTAAGGAGTAAACGAAGTTTGAATGACTAATCAACAGATTGTTTGTGCAAATGGTTTTGCAGAGTTACAGCTCCGTACGATTCGTTCAATAAAGAATACTTTATTGCCAACAACTAACAAAAATAATAGAATAACAATAGATCTTTCAGTTTTATGTACGGTGTTGACCGACAAAGACCGAAGTGTTATTTTCACATTCTATTGAAATGAAAAAAATAATTAATAATAATAAATATTAAATAAAAAGGGACTAACAACAGTAATATAATAATTGTAGATAATTTAATTTTATGTACAGAGTTGTAACTCTGCAAAACCATTTGCACAAACAATCTGTTGATTAGTCATTCAAACTTCGTTTACACAGTCCGACACAGAATCAATCTACCAGATGCAAGATCGCTTAAGCGATTTAGGGTCTCACTTAAGCAATTCTTTGCTTTTACAAAGTGTCGCTTAAGCGATCAAGTCCAAGGTAGAATCAATATCTGCCTAGGTGCATGATCGCCTAAGCGATCTGTGATATCGCTTAAGCGATTCTTCTCTTTTTCACTTGGTCAATTAAGCGATCATGTGATGGGCGAAATCAATATCTACCCAGGTGCACGATCACCTAAACAATCCATGATATCGCTTAAGCGATCCTTTATGAAAAAACCCTTTGTCGCTTAAGCAATATACTTAGTCATTTAAGCCATCATGAGCAATACATACTTTTCCATCTATTCTCCTGAATTTTGACAAACTAAAATTATCAAAACATATTAATTCCATACTTTCTCCTCAATTTGACAACCTAATTCCAAACTAAAATTACTAACACATATTTAGGCCATGCAACAAGAATTCTAAATATAAAAGAATGATTTATTCAATGTAACAATAAAATTTAAAATATCAATAATCGAAAACAATAACTCATCAACGATTGGCCTTGGCAACTCCCTGAATTTCATCCTTCTTCGAACCTAATTTTCTGGATCTGCATGTGATTACTTCTGGCAACTGCTTCTCTTGTGGTCAGGTTGCTTGCAAATTGAGCACTTATTCATCTTACGGGGAACCTTAGAGGCTGATGGAATACGCTTAACTCTTTTTCTCCCCTTTGTTGTCTTCTGGAATGGCGAATGGATGATAATGTCAGCCAACTCTGGCAGCACTACCCACTGCTCTTCTATAGGCACTGGATATATTGTTTCTGAATAAGCTAGCATATAGTGATTTGCCATATAGAGAGGGGAGCAAAGTTCCATGTAAATTTTTGAACCAAAATCTGGCTTTCGTTGGTGTTTCAGTGCTGCTAGTGCATGAGGACAAGGTAAACGTGGAATGTCAAGCACTTTACAACTGCAAGTTTTACTAACAAGGTTAACTAAGGCATTCGGACCATAGCCACGCACAGTGAACTCTTGAGCATTAAGAGGATAGGCAAACAGTGCATTTGATAGTTCCATACGTTCTCGCAATAATTTTTCAACTGATGGAACGAGGGTCATAGTAAAATTATCTGACTCTGTACGACGCTCATGGAACCACCGTGACAATGTCCTCTGGATTGCATCAAAAAGTGCAACTATTGGAAACTCTATTTCTATTAACAACTTCGAATTGATGGACTCGGCTATGTTCTTGGTCATGACATCAAACCTTCTTCCAGGAAAGTAAGCTCTACTCCATCGCTCGAAACCAACATCATGCTCAAGATACTTAGCAACTCTATCATCCTTGATTCTGATTTGCTGGAAGTGCTCCTTGAACTCATCAACCCAATAAGCTTTTGCTGCCATGTAGTATGTCTGAAGAATGCCAGCACACTTAAACTTTTGTTTTATGTTCTTACCAAGGTGTCTCATACAGAATCTGTGATATGCTTGAGGGTAAATAGTGGCAATCCCCTTCTTTATAGAGTTGTGCCTATCGGATACTATGCACAACTCGTCACTGTCAGGCACTATCGTACGTAATTGTTGAAAAAACCAAGTCTATGACTTGTCATTCTCAAAGTCAACCACACACCATGCAACAGGATATGTGTGATTCTCGCTGTCCTGTGCAGTGGCCACCAATAATGTACCTCTATACTTTCCTGTCAAAAAGCAACCATCAAAAACCAACACATTTCTCATGTTTACAAAACCCCTTATAGCAGAACCGTAGGCAACAAAAAAAATATGTAAACATCATATTCCTGTCCCACTTCAAAGTCATCTTGCTACCTTAGTTTGTCAACTCAAGCATATAACGGTACGCTTCTAATACTGCGTACCCGTGCTCCGGCGTGCCCCTCACAAAATCTTGTGTACGTTGTCTCCCTTTCTAGCATTTCTAGTAACTAATAGCACATCTCAACTCTGTGTGCACAAGTCTCTGAATGTCTTTAAGAGATGGACATTTCCCTTCAATGAGCTGACTTTTGACAAATTGTCCAATAACATCAACAGAGGTTTGTCGATGCTCACCTGAAATATGTCCAAAACCACATTTGTGCTCACGGGTATATGTGCTAAGAATAAATTTTTCCGACTCTGCCAACCTTCTACAATAAATTCGCCACTTGCACTTTCGGTCATGACATGCAACCGTCACAACCAATGAATTTGACTTTTTGTTAATGAATTCAAAATTACCTCTCATGACAACAAGTTTTAGCTTCCTCACCACTTCTTCTTTGTTGTCAAATAAATACCTTATGCGCAACTCCGATCCATCCATAAAAACATGAGCTGATTCACTACTACCTGCAATTGCCCCCTCTGAACCTGCATAAATGACCATAGTGTTCACTTCCTCACAAACTACACCTTCTGCATAATCTGTATTTAAAGGAATCTTTACATCTACGGGAACATGTACGGGGTCCTCCTCCTCAACATTTTCATTCTGCTGCCTATGACCAACCTCTTCTACAGTGTCCTCCTCACCACCCAATTCACCGTTTACTCTTGATTTTTCAGCTAACAAATCAATGCCCTCGTAGTTCAAATTAAAACTAGGCAAATCTCCGTCAACTTCCTTGTTATCCCCTTCCTTTGAACCAACTTCCAACGGTTTTTCTATGAAAGAAACCCTTAAAATCGGCTTCGAACCATTATCGGCCACATCAATCATATATAACTTCACAATTTCATCTGACTTTAATATAGTAGGAGGTACCTTATAATGTTCAGGAACTCAGCTTAAAACATATTTCACAACTATATCGCTATGTGAGCAACTCAAATCACCTCTTCTAATTATTTCATCAATCAACTCATCAAAACTAACCTCTGTGCTCACAACAATTGGTATAACTTCTTTGCTCTTCCTAATCCACCTCCAGCTACTTTCTTCCTCCACCCACTCACCAAAATATTCAACACCCAAAACAACTTGTCTCATGTCTAATAATAGCTAACTACCTATAATATAAGAAAAAAATATTCTTAACTGATGTACTAAGGGTTGAAATATTTTAAAAAGCAATTGCAGAGTTGCTTGACAGATGTGGTGTATCGCTTAAGCGATCTGGTATATCATTTATTGGATCGCTTAAGCAATCTGCTATATCGTTTACTGGATCGCTTAAGCGATATAATGGATCGCTTAAACGATATAATGCCATTTACTGATCGCTTAAGCGATCTGTTGCTATACACCAGACTTTTAGCAGATCGTTTAAGCGATCTTATGCCACATACTTAATCGCTTAAGCGATCTATCTGCCGCATTACTAGACGTACTAGATCGCTTAAGTGATCCATCATATCCAGAACACGTTTTCAGTCATCTCCACCTACAATCGGTGCTACCACCCTCAGCTACCCACAATGCAAGAAAATTTTCAACAAATTTCACTCTTTCAACTTCCATTACATCAAACACAACCCAATAACCTAAACAACTAAATCAAAATCATAACCCAAACCCAATCCATCATTAAATCTTTGTAAACCAAAATATAAAATCGAAAAGAGAGATACACATACATGGACGAAATGTTAGGAGGAGGAGAATCTGTGTTGGAGAAGATGGTAATGGCGAAGGAATGCGTTAATGTGACGGGAGGAAAAAGAAGAAGGTGTTTGGGTTTGTTTACAAGATTTTCGACTCTTTAGAGACATATTATAATTTTTAAAAGATTACACAATTATTCATTAATCTTAATTAACCCCTAATCATGTTTAATTAAGTTTAACAAAAAACAAGGCTATTTAGTTAATATTTACAAACTATATAGGCTTTTAATTAAATTTTAACTTTAAATGGCGTTTTAATAAAATCACCCCCAAATTTCCTTTTAATCTTGAAAACCTAGCCTCCACATTCTCTGATCGCACCCCCATCAGCTCGCCGCCGTCCACCATCCCAAACAGGTTTCACTTCCAATATTCCTCTTTCACCACCATTGCCAATCTTAATCGTTGCCCACCGAGAGGTCGCAGACCGTCCACCACACCACCACCATGACGAGTGTCAGCCGAGTCGCACCAAGTCGCCGAACGTCCACCCTGCACCAGGCTACTGTTCAGATGGATCTTTTATTGTATTTTTTTTTTTTTTTTAATTTTTAGATTGCGTATATTGTTTAAGTTGATACACTTTGAGACGGATGATCTATTCTTTATACTGGCTTATAAGTGTTTCTGTTTCTGGTTGGTAGATTGGAATTAATTTTAGCCATCTGGATGCCTTTCAGTGTTCTTTTTTTCGTTTTTTTTTATTGAAAAGTATATAATGGCCTTGGTAGTTAACAACTTCAACGATCATGCATTAGTTTTTGAGCAGCTGTTTCTTCTTCTTCTTCTTCATCAAAACATGTCTCTGACTCAACCTCTCCTCTTCAAAGTATATAATGGCCTTGATAGTTAACAGCTTCAATGATCATGCATTAGTTTATGGGCATCTTTTTCTTCTTCTTCGTCAAAACATGTCTCTGACTCAGCCTCTCCTCTTCAATCATCTCTTCTTCCTCGACTTTTCTGGCTCCAACTAAAATCAATTCCAAGTTCTTCCGTCTATTACTACGCTGAGAAATTGGAACAACAATGAAATGAAATGAGTGACCCATTTGTTTGTTTGAATACAACTTTCCCACAAATTTTTCATTTGGGTTCCATTTTTCTCTCCCCTTACTCACTTATTCCATATGTTGTTTTTTCTCTAAATAAAATCAGTTTAATTAATAGGTTTTTCTTTTTTGTAATGTCATATTGAAGAGCGCAGAACATTTCGCTTCAAGCTAAACACATTGATGTTTGCAACTATGTTGCGACGCCTGAAGAGGAGAAAATTGGTACGTTTAATTTGTTTATTTATTTGTTTCCGTAAGTATGATGATTTGATGGGAAATGCTAGGTACATTTCCAACAATCAGTCCAATAATGAGCAATGCCATCCATACCTGTAACATTTTATATGAAATTGGGGATAATATATAAATTGTGATACTAAATATTTGGTAAATGTTACTGTTTTTTGTTGTCTGGCCCGATAATGTTTCTGGACGCATATGACCTCTGATTTCAATGATGTTTTCATTCAGAATAATGTTATGAATACGAACTCTACAGACAAACTAGTGTGGTGTGGCACGTTATGATTTTGCCAATTGTGTGGTAGTGCCTTATGATTTATATGTGTGTCATTTTTCTGGTTTGATAGGAATTGGGTGTTCGAATTGAAACGCTAGTAATGAAATATGTCGTTCAGTTTATATGAGAAGCATTTTGAATACGTAGTTTAGTTTAGAGGTCTAATTAGCTTTTTTGTAGGAGTGTCAGTGGTTGGTAACTTGGGTGTTGAAGAGACTCTTTCAATGGTACTAATTGGTGGCCTACTTGGGAACAAGAATGTTGATTTACTTATCGGGTATGGTTATTGGTTAGATTTGAATTATTGGCATCAGATTTGATAAATGTCAATGAGAGTAATTGTTTCAATACCAACCCTGGTGAAAGTTTCTTGAATTGGTCCCAGTAGAATTGAACAAATTCATCTCATTGATGCATGCACCTACGTATTCAACATAAGTCCAAGATTTATATTTCATCAAAGCATGTGCCTAATAGTTTTGTTTTGCCGTGAAACAAATATTTAAAGAATAAAATTTAAATTTTCTTATAACATGTTGATTGGTTTTCCAGAATAAGGGTACTTCATTTATTCATTATTTTCTATTGTTACTTGGAAAAATCAATTATATGACCACTATTATTGCATAATGTTGTTATAAATTTGTTTAGCAAATTTAAGAAATGTAATCCTTGAAATATGATATCATTGAACTAAGTTAAACGGATGTTTTTCTTTGCAAGCACTTATTCATGTCTGCTTCTATGTTAATTCAGTTGAATTGTTCTTAATATATTCCTGGTTTTGGTGAAGCTTACAAGACAAAAGTGTCGCGCAATTGAAATATAGTCAAACTTCAAGCTGGTTACCTTTTTCAGGGGTCTGTAATGATGTATCAGATAAGATTTACAGTTTATGGTAATTTTGACTTGTTTTTTCCCTCAAATGTTTATAAATTTAGTGTTAGTTCAAATGTTTATGAATGTAGCTGTTTAATTTTTTTAGTTCTTGATTGTAGCTCAAAATCAAACTCCTAAAGATTGAGATGCAAAATCAAGTTCCTGCAGTACAATTTTTTTATCAAAATATGGTGCCGGCCCAGTGAAGGTAATGTAGTTCTACTATACTTTTGAAATTTTGTTAACTAGTTCATTTGATGTCAATGAATAATTTAGAGTGATGTTGTAAATCTTTAGCAGGAGAAACCATTGGGAGAGGATGGCCAGGATTCGATAACATATGCCACGAAAAATAAACCGACATATTCATCAAAGGAGAGTACTGATACTGATCAAAACAGCCACTTCATCACTTTATATTCTTGCTGCTGTAATGTATGTTGTGTACAAGTTTTTATAATGCAATTGAACCATTTGTAAGGTATGCAATTGAACAAATTAATGTTGAATGACAATGCTACTGCTGTAGTTCATTGAACGTATTTTTCATTTTAAGTTTCATGACAAAAAATTGAGCCATTTGTAATTGTCCAGCAGGTAATCGAAGTCATATTATAGTGGAAATAAGCAATTGGTATTTTTTTGTTTAATTTTTGTTATAAATCTAAATTGTTTCTGCATCACTTGATCATAGTTTCCAAAGTTCATTGACAGAGCATGATATGTTATGAAATGCTGTACAAACAACGGCAGAGGATCTTTGCCTGCTGTATGCTTTGATGCTTTCTTCAATTCGGCATATATCGAACGTGTCATAATGATAGGATCTTTGCCTCACTGATATTCTAATTTTTTGGTTGTGTAAGGTGATGGACTTTTTTTTGAGGGGTGGTGTTGTCTTTCTATTCTTGAGTATTATAGATATATTTCCTAGTGTGTATTCTGATTTCTGATTGCTTAATGCTTATAGCAGTGAGGCTGCATTTTGGCTTGTGTATCTATGCAAAGATGGACAGATAGATTAGTCTCGTGTTTTCAAAGCCATCTTCATCTAAAAATAATTGCTTTTCTGGGTTTAAATTATAGTATCCGGAATCCTAATGTGGTTACAAACAACTTTAGAGTTTAGACCATTGCTTATTTCCACCATAATATGACTTCAATTACCTACTACTGAAAAAGGAGTCTTATTGAAAAGGGCAACAAAAAGAAGCCTTAGTGCTTCCTGGTTACAAGAAACTATAAACCAACAGAAGTTATACAAATTTCCTGCACAGGGTCCTCTGTTTTCCCACAAATGTGTCAAGATTTGGTATATGCTCATTCATAATTTGCAGAAAAAAAAAAAAAAAAGACTAATTAAAGTCTTTAACATTTACTCGACCAAAAAGTGCGTAGAAATGAAAAGGATCTTTTACGTTTACTCCACCAAAAAATGCACAGAAATGAAAAAAGACTTTTACATTTACTCAAAAAGTCTTTTATATTTATTCCACCAAACACAACACTGCAGCAACAAAAATCTACGGAAAATACGCCAGAACCACACCAGCAAACTTCCACCATCAGTACCACCCAAAAACCAACATCACTTCCATCCAAATCAACACTGCAAATACTAGCACAAAAAAAATGCAGAATGTAATGAGCAGACAAATCCAACCAGTAACCACAGATTAAATAAACTGGAATGTGAATACAACCAGTTATACTTCCAATTAACCAGATATTGCAGGCCAAACAAAAAAAATTAGTCAGGGTTGCTGCCAAGCTGAACATCAAATCTAATCAGCTATGTATAACTTGTCTCAATTCCATCAATTTCTCGCTGAAGGTCTTCAAAGACAAAGCAACATGTTGCCATCCATTCCAAACAAACTCCAAACGAATCAATAAGCTTGTTAATCCTGTATACCATCATCAATCCAGTTCAAATACAATCTGCAGTTCTTCCTTTGATCCTGTCCTCCCCCACCAGAAAAAAAAACATTCAACTCCTGTTGTTCCTGATTTCACAAAGTAATTATGCATTCAGTAAAAGTTCATAACAATTCAAATTTGTCCTTTATCTACAACATATTTTACTGGGAAAGTACAAGCAGGCAACCCACCTGTTAAAAGTTAAAAATTTATACAACCCATCATCGTGTTCCCATGCATCAGAAACAAGAACAAATTGGCATAGGTTTTTATCAAAACACGAGATGCTCTACTAGATAAATAAAACAACTGAACATATGGATTTTTTCCATGACATCTTTGGACACTTCTTCATTTCTTATTCAATTGGTGAGAAAGGCATTAATGAGTGCTTACCTTTTAATGTATGTCAGCAATAGACTCTATATGACATTATTGTATGACAGCAATAGGCTCTATATGACATTGTCTCCTAGATGGCCATAAAAAGTTAAAATTTTTGTCCCTTGAGTGAGAAGCACCTAGTGACTTTTGAAATGAAGAAACAACTTCTATGTGTCAAAAACAATATCCCCAGCCGCTGCGCATTCAACACATTAATTAACTAGAGCAAGCACCTGACTGGAACTTGAGTTTTGTTTAAGGGGCAGGCAAATAATTAATAATATGCCAGTTTTTTATTGGCACATATTCACCAGAAGCCTACGTACAATATCCTTATTGACTTGAAAACAAACTACAAAATATCCTAATTATATATCCATTTACCACAGTTGAGAAAGTTTACAAGGAAAAGATATTATGCTAAACCTGGCTATTAGCGCAGGTCACAGCAATAGGTAGGCTTATTGAGACAGTGAAGAGACCAAGAACAATCAGGTTCACAGTGTGCTTCTTGTGATACACATGTAACGGCCACAACACTGCATGGGTTTTAGATCTAATCGAGACTCAAATAATGAGAAAATTTTATTCCAACTATGTACACAGTTTCAATTTTACCCAGATGAGATGAGATTCCATTAGGGTACCATAAACTCAGAGGATTATCACCAAATAATGCATAATACTCTGAATCCTCCGGTCTTTAATATGTTAATGGATGGATATTCTTTATACTCCTATTTTGTGGTCGATAGACATTAACTCACAGCCGGTTGTCTGTTAATGGATGTTCTGCTGCTATTTAAACAAGGAACCTCACAACAAACAACCCACACACAAAGACCAAAACCCGAGCACCAACCAAGTTACCAACCACAACAAATGAACAAGAGCCGAGACAAACCAAGAACAAACGCCAAACTTACAGCCAAAAGAACCAAAAAAACCAGGAGAACAAAGACACTCCAAAGAGAAAACCCCAGCAAACACACCAGAATAAACTCAAAAGAAAAACAAGCAGAAAAAAGTGGAAGAAAAAAAGGGAAAAAATGAAGATTGGAGAAGGAAACGTGAAAAGAAGAATGTGATGGAGTTGATGATGGCGTCGGGTCAGAGGAAAAGGTGGTGTTTGATGGTAAAGGTGGAGGATGGATGATGAAGGTGGAGAGAGGAGTGGCGGGTGGGGTAGAAAATGGATGGAAAGTGGGTTTGTTTTTTCATTCCATTGCAAATTCTTATATTTGAAGTAATAAAAAATTCTTATATTTAAAGTAATAAAAAATTATTTTATATCAATCCTGATTTTATATGTTCAAACTTTCATTTATTTTATATTATCGTCATTTTGAATACAAGTCTTTGAATGAACATTTTGTACGTATAGTATTAAGAATAATAGATTGGATAAAATCTCATGCTATTAACACAACATAAACTCATTCGATGAAAATAATGTTAGGATTGTGTCATAAATGCTTAATAATGAATTTACTCTGGAAATGGATGACACGGGTTGAGAATGGGTAAGAAAACGAACACATGACCATTATGATACGACCGACGGCGACATACTAATCGTAATTCTTCTTACGCATATATGAGCTAAATCGTACAAGTTAAGCCAGTTGATCACTCCAGTGAATAAAAAGTGGAGATTATGTGAAATATAAGCCAAAGTTTATTTAATTAGAAAAATGGTTGTATATGGTATTATTGACATAATTTTTGGGATGAATAGTTTAATTTTAGAACTTCCTCTCACTTTCATCTTGAATTCAAATACATCCATCCAATTTCTCGAGGGTTTTAAGTGACCCGGTTTACCCATTGGGCCAGTCAAATCGACGGTTTGGCACTATTTTACCAGTCGATTACCGGTCCAAAGAAGGTCTTAATGCAAAGCTGGGTTTTACTGTAGATTGAACCGAAGTCAAAGGCCGATTTCTAGTCGGTCCGGGTTCAAAACAGTACATATTATTGACACTTTGTACAATAAATGGCCAGAAATTCAACCAGCATATTCAATCATAATCATTCTTATGCATATATGAGCAAGATTTACACACACACACATATTATATATATATATAGTCTTTAATTGAATGACATAATATTAATAAAATATTTACAATTAACAACTAATTATGAAGGAAGACAAAGTCACCAGAAATAAGGATACTTTCATTAAACTGGTTGAAAAACGGCCCAAGTTTACTTGATGAAAAATCTGTATTGTCAGGTGAAATTTATGAATTCCAAACAACAAATTGGACTAGCTTTTTAGAAAGATGTATTTTTATTCAAAATTAAGAATTTTTTTTAAGTGCTTCTATATAATCAATTTTATCCAGGGTTTGTTTTTTCATTCCATTGCATATGAAGAATACTATCGTCAAGATTTCTTGATATACAGACGTTAAGTATGATAAGCACACAATATATTTTGGAATTAATTAGAAAAACACTTTTAAGTCATTGTAGATCACATTCATGCAAGCAATGGATTTGACCAATCTTCGCATATATAAAAACTATATTATTATATTGTGAAAGTCGGGAATAGTCTCCATCCCTAGTCGAGCTCTTGGTCCAGACCAGTCGAGTTGCCATTTCCCCTTTTCTTTCACAATCAATCATCAATCACATCACTCTTACACTCGATCCTTCCCTTCAACAAAAGCTATGGCGACAGGAACAACATCAAACGCCATGCATGACCCCAAGAAAATAAACAACAAGAAAAAGAAAACAAACAGATCGACCAACACCTGATAAAACTAAAACCTAACAAGTAAGTTTTAATCAGAATCAGATGTGTAAGCGATGATAATCCGACGAAGCAAAGCGTAGCAAAACGGGCACTGGAAGACGGGCTCGGGCAAAATCAAATAAACGTTAGGGCCACAACAGGTTGCTGGTACAAGAACAAGATAATCACCACTATGGTTCATCTGGCGATGAAGAAGAGGAGAGTTAATATTGTTAAACGAATATGCCCTCCTCAGTTCGTCCCAGTAGTCGTTTACGTAAAACATACTGCCACCAACATTGACGATTGGCCTTAGATCAAATATTACAGTTCCATCTATTACATTTCTGTAATGCAAAGTTTGATTCTGCAAAATATTCAACCCAAGAAAATAAACCATTAGTTTACTGGATAAAATATTGTTTTTCAGTATATAAAATGATTTCGCATAACAAGACGAATGAATATATAGCTAGCCTTCTTTTCTATACAAAAGAAATTAAACCTGAACATCGTAGCGTCGCTCCCAAGGGAAAGGGATGGGAGCTTCAGGGTTATTGAGAAGGAAGGTGTACCAAGGAGGAATATCCATTGGAGTTGAAAAATGATACAAGAAGAGATGGAAGGGTTATGGAGTGAGGGTATTTATAGGGTAGAAGAGATTGTGAAAGTGAGTTGACTCGTTTGTTGGGTTCTCGAGTTGGGGGTTGGAGATTCGGACTCAGTGCAAAAGAACCAGCCGTGTATGCACGTGTGAAAGTCTATGTGTTACGAAGCTGTGTAATAAATTATAGGAGACATCCAATTAAAAGAGAAAAAAATATATGTAAATAGTTTGAGTGAAAATTTTCCTGTCCTAATAAATTATTTACTTAAAAGAGAGTTTTAGTCTTAATTATAAATCATTCAAATATGTTGAGGTGAGCGATATTTCGGTTACCAAAAAAAAAAAAAAAAATGAAAATTGTATATTCGTATATATAACTTTTGGATACAACACACTCCATGATGTTAACAACAATTATTGAAGTAAATATCATTAACTCAATTAAATTATTAATTAATTAACCATGATTGATGCAACTCATGTATAAGTTGTAAGAATTAATCCTCCTTACTCTCCTTTTTTTTTTTTTTTTTTTTTTAAATGAGTAATATAACTTCTTATTCCTAATTTTTTTTCATATCTCCAATAAGTAAGTTGTAATTATCCAAAACCAATGCGAAATATTTTGAATAATTAATGAGGTAAAATTGTGGTAATTACATCACGAGAAAGATAACTTGTGTTAAAGGTATATTAAACAGGTGTTTCATTAAGAAACGAGACATTTGTTAAAAGAGTAAATGCAAGCCTTAACACACAGTATATATGGCAATTTCATTAAGTAAATTAAGTTTTTTTTCTCATATATGGCATCTACACCTAAACAATTAATACATCTAACTATAAAAGGTATGGCATTCAAAATCATATCCCAATCATAAGTTCAGTATAGATTAAATTGGATTTATTTTACATTAAATGAAACTTTATTAATTTATAAAATATTTATAGGCAGAACGACTTACACATACCCAAGGTTTGTCGAAACGATAAGTTGGTACCCAAAAGGTTTTGAAACGACAAATAAGTACCTTCCGTCATATTCTGTTAGTGATTTTCGTTTGATAATAGTGAAAAGACTAAAATGCCCTTGAAAGTTTGATATTTTAGCTTTTTATAAATTTAAAAATTTCTAAAAAACCCCTTAGGTTTGCTAATTTGACTAAATACCCCAATATATAAAAATTTTATAAAATAACAAAAACACCCCCGCCACCCGCAGTGCCAAATTCCGGCCACCACCGTTGGAATCTGGCCGAAAAATTGCGTTACGACACAGACCCGTTGGATCTGTGTCGTAACGTGTCGATCTGGCCTTTTTCGGCCTCGACAGCCAGATCTGGCCGTAGATCTGGCCGAAAAATGCCAGATCGAAGTGTTATGACACAGATCCGACAGGTCTGTGTCATAACGCAATTTTTCGGCTAGATTCCAGCCTCGACGGCCAGATCTGGCCACAGATCTGGCCTTTTCCGGCCAGACCAGCCACAAATCTTGCCAGAAAATGCCAGATCTACGCGTTACGACACAGATCCGACGGGTCTGTGTCGTAACACAATTTTTTGACCAGATTCCGGCGGTGGTGGCTGGAATCTAGCACTGCGGGTGACGGGGGTGTTTTTGTTATTTTATAAAATTTTTATATATTGGGGTACTTAGTCAAATTAGCAAACCTATGAGGTTTTTTAGAAATTTTTAAATTTATAAAAAACTAAAATTTCAAGGGCATTTTAGTCTTTTCACTATTATCAAACGAAAATCACTAACAGAACATGACGGAAGGTACCTATTTGTCATTTCAAAACTTTTTGGGTACCAACTTGTTGTTTCGGCAAACTTTGGGTATGCATGAGTCGTTTGGCCAATATTTATAGTGGTGAGTATTTCCGCTTGTCACGCGGTTCGATCCCTGGCAACGGCGATACTCTTTTTCCTCTTAATTTTTGAGTTATCCATTAGCCCCTTGAAGTTTTATTAAATAACAAAATTCCCAATGTAAGTTTCTAAAATAATAAAACCTCTCTACCATTATTACAGTTTTCTGCTTTCTTTTTTCCCCTTTAATTTCGGAGTTAGTACAATAACCCCCCTGAGGTTTCTGAAATAAAAAAATTTCCTGCTGTTATTATAATTTTCATTTTAGAGTCTGTACATTAACCCCCTTAAATATCGCCAGTATTACTTATTTTGTACGTTATCATCTTCAAGTCTATTCTACTAATTTCATTCTTAATGTCGTAAATGATATAATTTTTTTCTCTAAAAAATATTTAGCCAATATTACTTTTTTAACTAGTAAACAGTTCTCTCAATGTCATACTATGTTCTGTTGGATAACTCTGCTCTGTTACTCCTACAATATGCAGGGGATCAAATGTTGTTCCCACATCTAGTATTCTACTTTTGAATATTGGGCGCTGGAGAATCAATTTATTTCTGATGATTAAGAGCAAGTATAGGTATAGCAATCTTTGTAATACTTAAGAAGTTAAGTGTGTCACCTCAATTGAAAAGTTATTGCCTCTGTTTATCATGCAATTTGAAAGTAATTAAGCATTCATACTGAGTGAGTTGCTAGAGGTAATTTGGGTTGTGATTACAGTGGGCTAATTATGTTTTTTTTGACATTACAGTATCTGTGTTATTCAGCAGAAATCTGGCGAAAATATGAAGAAGACATTTGAAGATTCTTCAAGTAAAATAATCAAATTAATACATAATTACAAAACTTAATCAAGAAAATCCATGTTATTTTACATACTCAAAAGGGAATACTAAAATACAAGAAACAAATCATTAATAACAGAAACTGAAGCTCTGAAACAATGATCTAGGAAGTTGGCTGTACTGGTACCCCATGTGCTACAAAATTTGAGATACTTTCTGAAAGATGCCGACATGCTTTATCATAGTTAACAAATCCCATGAACCAAAAATCATGTCCATCAACAGTAACGATCTGGATGTATTTTTCTGATGGATTTTCCTTCATCGCCACAGGATTGGTGGTGCCAATCATGGCCAAAGGTACCATAACCTGTAATTCAAAAACCAACCATTGTTAATAGATATAACTGGACTCAAATAAAATTAAACATATATTTCATACTGGTTATGTTCATGTATATGGATTGAAAAATTGCTATACCTTGTAGTAGCTCCAAGTCTTCTGGCCGGAAGGTGCTGTAAAAGACAAGGGACGATCACTGCAGAAAGCTACATGAACATTTGAGAGATATAGAGTTCCAGCTACAGGTCCAGTTGATGTTGACAGGTAACAGGCAAATGTCTTCTTCAGATTCTCATTCGGATATGTTGTGAAAGTTTGCTTGTATATCGTCTCGAATCCACCTCCTGTTAATGCTTTCGCGTTCAGGCTCATCTTGCCCCACGCAGCTTCAGGCACCGATGAGTTCGTTCGAACTGCAAGCAACAGAAACAATGTTAATTAAAAGAGTACGGAACTTTTGATGAAGCTAATAAAAGTAATAATTTATTTTTGAACTTACGATTGTGCCAAATATTATTGGCCATGGTTTCAGCCTTATTGCCCCAAGAATTGAAGACATTGAGAATGGATTCCATGGGACTACTGCTTGGTTTCTCAACGGGAGAGTACTGAAGGTAAGGATGATGATAGTGTTGATCCTGATTATTAGCAGAAGCGCCCCACAAGGCTGCTTTTTTGTTGTCCGGATGGCACGTGGGCACAGCAGGTGCTCCCATCACATGAGTCCCCCATTTCTCAGCATCTGTGACTGTAGATCCCGGCGCAAAAGGTGACGACGATGGACCTGCAGTCGGCTGATGAGGATGAGATTGCATTTCTTGAGCACTGCTTGAACTTGACGCAAATGGGTTTGTTTCGTTATTTGAAACGGGAGAAGAAACAGAAGGATAATGAGGCTGTGATTCTTGGTTGGTGCCGTTCATTTTGGTCTGATAAACTTTGGATAAGAGATGGAACAAAGTTCTTCTTTGATGGCGGAGTAATAAAAATACTGAGATTTTTCCGTCTTGGTGAAATAAATGAATGCATAATTCAATATTTATGCATAATGGAATACGCGTTTCATAATGAGATGAGGACTATTCTGTGAAAATAATTGTTTGATTTAAGAAATGGAATACGCGGTTTAGGAATGACGGGCTTGGTTACTTAGCCGCGTCTTTTCTTATCAACTATTCATTTAACTCTGCGGATGTGACATCACGCCATAGAAGTTTCTATTCAAACCCTTTAAGGTTTTTAATTTTGCCTAAGCCCATTTATACTAGAAATGGGCTAGTAATATATGCTGGGCTAATTTGCTTAAGGCCAGTATAGTGTTTGATAGTATTCATTGTCTAATAAATAAATAGAAATCCAGATCTCAAATAAATAAACATTTAAATAGTAATTAAGGTAAAGTTAATAAAAGACTACGATGACATGGCAAAACGTGATTGTAGACAATTTCTAAATCTTCTAAACAACCAAAATTATCAGCAATTGTTCCAATTCCAGTTTCAAATTCCAATCAATCTTATCAAGGCCGAACGATCGCATACCAAAGGTTTGGTAAAACGATAAGTTGATATCTAAAAGGTTTTAAAATGATAAATAGGTACCTTCTGTCATGTTCTGTTAGTGATTTTCGTTTGATAATAGTGAAAAGACTAAAATGCCCTTGAAAATTTGATATTTTAGTTTTTTATAAATTTAAAAATTTCTAAAAAACCCCCTAGATTTGCTAATTTAACTGAATACCCCAATATATAAAATTTTTGTAAAATAACAAAACACCAACGCCGGGATCTGGCCGAAAAATTGCGTTACGACACAGACTCGTCGAATCTGTGTCATAACGCGTAGATCTAGCATTTTCCGGCAAGATCCATGACTGATCTGGCCGGAAAAGGCCAGATCTACGGCCAGATCTGACCGTCGAGGCTGGAATCTGACCGAAAAATTGTGTTACGACACAGACCTGTCGATTTGTGTCGTAACGCGTCGATCTGGCCGGAAAAGGCCCGATCTACGGCCAGATCTGGCCATCGAGGCCGAAAAAGGCCAGATCGACGCATTACGACACAGATCCGACGAGTCTGTGTCGTAACGCAATTTTTCGGCTAGATTCCGACGATGGTGGCCGGAATCTGGCACTGCACGTGGCGGGGGTGTTTTTGTTATTTTATAAAAATTTTATATGTTGGGGTATTTAGTCAAATTAGCAAACCTAGGGGGTTTTTTAGAAATTTTTACATTTATAAAAAACTAAAATATCAAACTTTCAAGGACATTCTAGTCTTTTCACTATTATCAAACGAAAATTACTAATAGAACATGACGAAAGGTACCTATTTGTCGTTTCAAAACTTTTTGGATACCAACTTATCGTTTTGGCAAACCTTGGGTATGTGTAAATCGTTTTGCCATCTTATCAATTCACAAAACTCTTCAATATGAGTTACCACAGACCTCCCAACGACCCCTACGCTTCTCAAGGTTCTTTTTTTTTTTTTTTTTTCTCCTTTTATTTATCATCCCATTGGATGATCTTATGATATGAAATTTAATCGTTGATTCTAATTTTTTTTTTAATAGGCTATTCAGCTCCCTATCCACCACCACCGCCGTACGAGGGGTACCCGCCACCCCTACCGCCACCTGGGTTTCCTAACCCTCCGCCAGGGCAATGTCCATACGAAGGGTACCAAGGATATTTTGCTGAAGGGTATCCTCCACCGCCACCTCGTGCTGGTCAACCACAGTATTACTACGAGCACTATCATTACCAGAACAATGATACTGGTTGTACTTCCTTTCTACAAGGCTGGTATNGCGCCAAAACCACCTCGAGATCAACGCTGCCACCACCTTCACGCCCTGGAAAAGCGGAGATCTTACCGTCAAACTTGTTCGCATTTCCACTTCTAACCGCCAAAGGTCGGCCCCACCCGAAATCATTATCGTACATCGGGAATCTTGGCGAGCTACCCATCGTCATTGATGCACCGTCGAAGTTTCCTAGCGGGAACACTCTCGGATTACTCTCCCAATCACCCACAAAACGACGCACCGTTTTGTCGTCATGAGCGTTTACATTTTTGTTCAACTGCTCCGCGCACCACCTCAGATCTTTACTCAACACCTCCCCGGCTGACGCGTAAGTGGGAATGCTTTGAATCGCGTTACCGAAATACAATGGATCCAGTTTCGGGTTCAATCTGTGACGGCAATTAACCGCCATTCTGAACGTAGTCGTTTTGGACACGTGTAATTTCCTCGCTCGAGTCACCGCCCGCCATAAAAGAGCGCACAGTGACTGAAACGACGATATCTCCACGTTTGACTCCGTTTTCTTGAACAAAGTATTATAGTACGGATCGTTACTTTGCTTCCCCATTAATTCAACGGCGTCAATATCGCCGTTAGTGATGCATATCTTGTTATTAACTCTAGCTTTCAGTTCCAAAATTGATTCTCTGCTGAAACTGAAGATTCTTTCACTCAACGGTTCGTATTCATTGAAAGTCACCTTCAGTCCACCGTCGGGAATTCTCAAAACCGCCGGCGAAATCAACACTGAGTCGCGAGAAAAATCGGGTTGTTTGGAGATTTTCTTCATTCCTCTCGAGATTTCAGCGAAAGTGTTGAAAAAATTCCAGAAGGACGTGCCGTCAGTGACCGCGTGATTCACAGCGCAGCTAATGAAGACACCGTCCGCAAGCTCTGTCACTTGTACGGTCAAGAGTGGTTTACAATGGCCGTCATGACTAATAGTTCTGTCAAAAGCGAAGAAGCTCTTGACGATTTCAGGGACATGAAGTGGGGCAAGAATTTCACGAATGAACAACTTGGCGGCATTTTTGTGAATAAAACCCGCACCCGCGTCGTTGCAGGTGACATAGATGTAGCCATCAGAGTCGGTCTTCAAGCGCCCAGCGAGAGGAGGAAAACGAGAGAGCGCTTGAGAGAGAGCTCTCTTCAAGAGAGCAACGAGAGAGTCAATGGGTAGATTCGGGCGAGTGAAAAGGCCACCTTTTTGGATGTAGTGACAAGAAAGCATGGGAAGGTCAGAAACTGCAAGCTTAAGGTCTCCAAGAGTTGATTTTTGGTCAGGAAAAACGACGCATTTGGAGACCAGAGTTGGAGAAGACACTGAAACTGAAGCAACCATTTTTTGCGAAAATTAAAACTACTCTCTCTCTCACTCTCGAACTCGCAAAATGGTTCCTTCAGTTGTTGTTTTGATTTGCGAGTGAGGGATTGAGTGCGAAGAAATGAAGAGATACGGGGAGTATTTATAACGGCGGAAAGAAGCGTTAAGAGCAAAGGTGCATGAACTTAAAATGAATGATGAGGTGGTCACTAAGCTGTTACTTTTTTAACCTACTTAATTTATTTAATGTTTCAGTTTAATTAATTAATGATTGTCTATTTTCTTTTTTGTGTTTGTTATCTCAAACCATGATTGAAAACCACGTGTGCATGTTCCTTCTGTTTAATTACCAATTGGGCACACGCTCATTAAAGACAGAAGAGAAACTCTTGGTAATTGTACACGCCTACATTACTATTAACTAACTATAGCTTTCTTCCTCTCATCCAACAGTCTCTTGCCATGTTAATTAGCAATTGGGGTATTGACACGCGTCCACGTATTTATTAAATGTGAAGATTAACATAAATTAATTTAATTTATTAAAAAATCTGGATAGATATTTGAGAAAATGGTAATATTCTAAAACAAAGGGTTAAAATAATGATGGGGATTTGTGTAGGATTTTATGAGGGTAAAAATATGGAAATTTTGGGAGTAAATGGAGTGTTTACTGTTTAGTAACAATAATTAAGAGAAAATCCTCAAAGATTTTTCCTTCAAATCTCAGGAATATCATGTAAAGTCTATCTTGAATTACACAAAGCCCCCATATATACGAGATATGCAGCCTCACACACAACCATCCAAATTCTACCAGAATCCTTTAATGCAATCTCATCCTGATATTCTTGAAAAAAAATGAGTGCTTCGTGGCTTTCTTCATTAATTTCTCCTCGTCCTACGTGGCTCACATGCAAATGCAGAGTTGTCCATGGAGCAACAAGTAGCAAGTATCAACTTGGGTTTCTATTATTTTTTTAACCACTGAGGCCAAATGGGGCTTAGAGAGTTACATCTAGGACTTCTCTACGGAAGTATGTTTCCCAATTCCCATATTTTTTTTTTTAGGACTTCTCCACGGAAGTATGTTTCCCAATTCCCATGTTTTTTTTTTTTTTTTTTCATGACCAAGGTGGTCCAGGTCAACTTGCCTCCACTTCAACTATTCCTCAGAATTTTAAAACTATCAATCGGATAAGAGTTTTAATAATCACCCTTATTAGGAGTCGTGAAAACTTGAACTTGTAAACCATATAAACTTATATCATCTTTTACTCTTTTACAATCAGGTCATCCAGTGATTATTAATTCTCATACACTATTCTTTATATTTTCCGTAATATAATATAAGAGGAAAATTTGTTGAATACAAAGGCCAAGTTGATGGAATAAGGTATTATAATAGGATGATTAAACAGTTTGCTTGGCAAATGGTGTACTAAAATTGATAGTTTTGAGAAGAATCCATGACCTAATCTAAATAATTCTCATGCAAATACTGATTAACATTTATAAAATCTAAATAAAATCCATGCGAAGAGCGCCGACTATTTACGTTCTGTATGTTGGCTGTCATTCTCTCAATCCCGAGAAAGGTCGGCCCAGGGAGGAAAGCCAGAATCTTAACTGTTTAAGCTAATCCTGAACTGTCTCATTAAGAAATTAAAATTAATTAATTGGGATAATTATTATAATATATAGTTTTTATTTATATTCGAAAGCTTATGTCTGAGATTACATGGTCCAAAGGTCGGCTAATTAAGTTATAGAAGAATCTGCAAAAACCGCCATTTCTGATTTGTCGGTTTGTGGCAATATTTAAAGAGCATATTATAAAGCACATTTTGGGTTTAATTAATTAATAAATGGTTTGACTTCACTGATAAA